CTTTACAGGGATTCTTATGTGCAAACTCGACACGTTACGTGTTGAATAGACATTACATAAGAATCACAGTCTGTCTCTGCATGTGTTGTATTGAAATACGAGAATTCCACTGCTGGACTGTTCTTATTGGGAATTGAGAAAATTATTTCTTTAAGCTTACTAAGATCAATATTAAAGTAAATCTGGATTGTAGGGATTGTAACTGATTAATTACCATTAAATAGTTACCGTAAAGTGGGGTTACTTTGCTTAAAAAACTAAAAATTTATTTTCGGTAAATCTGGCAACGCTGCTCTAATGGAGTTGGCGGCAAAATACTATGCGATCAACAGGTTTTAGGCAGTACGAGTACGGAGCCATATTTGAAAATCACGTGAGTAAAAATTTTATTTTGATCTCGTAAAATCATGTTGCTATGCTAAGGGTTGTGTAATAAAAACTAATGAATCTTGAATTCTAGCTTTAACATCACCTATTCCTGTGCATATGTGAGTTCTATTTCTGATATTAACAGTTTTCCAATAATTTTTGCGGTTGGCAAAGTTGCACCACATTGTGTTTTTTTTAGAAAATGATTCGAACGTATAAAAGACAAGTGGGTGCACGGCGTTTTAAAAATTATACCGAAGAGCAGTTGCATAGAGCTGTTCTACTGATTAAAAGTAATCAAATGGGATATACCAAAGCATCCAAAACCTTCAATATTCCTAGAAGAACCCTAGTAAATAAAGTTAAAAAAAACATATCCGTCCTGTTGGAGCACCTCAGCTAATCGCCCCGGAGATTGAACGGTCTATTGTCGACGTTATAATAGCCAGCTCCGAATATGGCTGCCCCCTAACCAAGACAGAATTGTGAGTAGTGTTGAAGAGTCATTTAGACAAAGAAGGTGTCCGCCTAAAGAAGTTCAAAGACAATTTACCAGGTGTAGACTGATGCAGGAATTTTATTCATTGACACAAACATGAATTATCCAACAGACAGTGCCAAAATAATAAAAAAGCAAGAGCTGAGAAAACAGATGAGGAAATGAACAATTACTTTGATAATTTAGAAAGAAATGTGGCAAGAATTCCACCTGATTCCATCAAACGACGAGACCAATCTGACAGACGATCCTGGATCGTCAAAATGTATTTTTAGAAAAAGGATTAAATACCCTGAACGGATTATGAACTCAACAAAGTCCTCAATATCCGTCATGTTTGCTGCCGCTGCAGATGGAACTTTGTTTGCCCCATATGTTGTGTATAAGGCAGAGAAATTATTTGATTCCTGGTGTATCGGGGACCCCCTGGAAATCGTTATAATAGTTCCAAATCTGGGTGGTTTGATAAGTACGTATTTGAAGACTGGTTTACACAAATGGTTATACCGTGGGCCAAAAAATTGATGGGCTGAAACTTCTAATCGAAGATAATCTATAGTCATTTAAACATAACAATTATTAGAGAGTGCCAAAGAAACAATCATTAGAGAGTGCCAAAGAAACAATATTAGATTTATCTTTCTACCATCAAATTCAACCCATTTGACACAACCTTTAGATGTGAGCTTCTTTAAGCCCTTGAAAGTAGTTTGGCGCCGTATAATAACAACCTACAAAACCAAAAATCCACAAGTACAGTATCTATCACTTTTCCTCATTTATTCAAAAAGCTCATTGAAGAAATAAAATTAAAAGACGAACAAATCATTCAAAATGGATTTAGAGCAAAGGGAATATACCCACGTAAAAGAAAGGAGGTTCTTAATAGAATGATAAGAATTGAACCTGGCAAATCTGTTGCAAGTGAGGATTTCACGACAAGTATTCCTAAAGAAAAGAAACGTGATAAAGTAAATATTGAAACTGAAGAATATGACTGGACCATTGAAAGTGAATCTGACGACAATTTAGAATTAGATGAAGTCGAGGATTTCCAAAAGACTGATGACCGCAATGACGAGCCTCAAGCCCATTGCTCCCATGATATTGTAACTAGCAGAATGAGTTAAGAGTTAAAAATTCCGATTCTCTACTTATAGCACTTTTAGGAAAAAAACAATACAAGCATTTTGTTGCACAAGTTATTGACAAAGAAAAAGACTGCTGTAATGTATAGTCTAATCAACAAGTTCAAAAGCGTGTTTTTGGGACATACTATTACGAAAATTATATTCCATTCGGAATAATGTCTAGATCAATGTGTGAAGAAAAATTTTGCAGTGCATAAAAAAATGCAAAAGTTATAAACAATTAAACACCTCAAAAACATGGTGTTTGGTTTTTCGCCTATAGTTTGTAAACTATAAATATTTTTGGATTTTTCAAAAAAGATCCTTAAAGAGGAGGAAATTTGCTACAAATAAGTTCCGACTCCCGGAACTGTACCTCCATTATTTATAATTTTAATTTAACGCTCAAAGTAGCCTTCCGCGCGCCATTTTTAGGTTGCGCGCACGGCGTCGAAACCGAGTAAGTTACATAAAATAATTTTTTTAAGTTAACAAAATTAAATTCAAAAATTTAATAAAATTACGGTGTATTCTAAACACTTAGAAGAATTCATTCCCGTTGGAATTTTTCATAAAAATTAATTTTCCAACAAAGTAGTTTATTGTTAATTAACAAAAATTTTAGATTTTCTCTCATCATTACAAATTGATAAAAATATTAAATAATTACCGTAATTTTTTTTGCTTCGTGGAGCTCTTTTTATATACATATAAAACAAAATAGCTTCATAAAAGTTTAAAAAATGTTAATACTTTGTTTATAATAATTTTTTAAAGTTTACAAAAACAGAAAAGTCACAGTGGTGCTATAAAAAAAATTTTTTTTTCCTCCATTTATTTATAAATTTTTTATAAACAAATGGAGTATTTCAATTTCAATAAAAAATTTATAAACAAACAGAGGAATTTTTTTTTTTAATTAATAAATGTCTTTTCTCGACATTAAAACGGTAATATTATAATAAATTGATAAAAAATATTTTTTTATAGCACCACTGTGACTTTTCTATTTTTGTAAACTTTAAAAAATTATTATAAACAAAGCATTAACATTTTTTAAACTTTTATGAAGCTATTTTGTTTTATATGCATATAAAAAGAGCTCCAAAAAAAATTACGGTAATTATTTAATATTTTTATCAATTTGTAATGATAGAGAAATTCTAAAAATGTTGTTTCCGGAAGTCGAAATTTATTTATAGCAAATTTCCTCCTCTTTAAGGATCTTCTTTGAAAAATCCAAAAATATTTATAGTTTACAAACTATAGGCGAAAAACCAAACACCATGTTTTTGAGGTGTTTAATTGTTTATAACTTTTGCAAATTTTTATGCACTGCAAAATGTTTCTTCACACATTGATCTAGACATTATTCCGAATCGAATGAGCTATTGAACATAATTTTCGTAATAGTATATCCCAAAAACACGCTTTTGAACTTGTTGATTAGACTAGTAGTTTTTATCACAAAACAATTTTTGTTTCCTAATATTGATGACACAGGCCTTATTCTTGAACACGATATTGTGACTATTTTAGAATCGCCAAAACTTGCATCAACATCAAGACAAATTTTTACATTCGAAGATTTTGATTTTTCCAAATATAACATGTTTTAGTATTTTGTTTCATAAAAATTTAAATATTTATTTTGAAGCATTTGTTAAATTTATTTTGTGACTTACTTCCTACTTAGAATAGTTAAGAATTATGTTCTTATTATTTTGTTACCTAAGAGTTATTATTATTTTATAAGAGTTGTTCGTTAACTTGCAATGTTCCTTTATTTTCTTAGAAATATACATTTTTAATGTAAAAATAAATTATGTTTATTAAAATATTTTTTTAAACACATTAAAGGAGGGTAAAGTACCCCTTCGAGACTGTTAACTTGGCCTGTACGCTTAAAAACGTGCAAAAATGGCAGTCGGCAAAGTAAGCCCAAAGTCGAGGTAACTTTGCCAACTTTTAAAAATGTGGTTCTAATTTTTTTATACTTTCTAATAACAAAACTATGTAGTCAAAGTATTAAATTTTCATATAGTTAGAGCTGGCTTTATAATTCCCAACAGAACCATAAATATAAAAAAACAAATTTGTGCAAAGTAACCCCACTTTACGGTACCAATTAAACAAAAAAGCCATTCCTTAAAAGTTATTAGTGTATCAACAATATCGTGGATGTGCATTTGTTTTATCTAGTATGCAGAGGCATCTAGAAGACACAAAAATCTGTATTTTACCCAGAACTTCCGTCGATATAGAAATTGTAAAAGCAGGGAACTCCTAAGCACTTAAGTTTTAATAAATTAAAATTAAAAGCACCAAACCAAAAACTTTTTTTTACATTTCTCTCTCCACCGATCTTCCTCCAGATCCCACCCAAATTCTCACTTCGCATCCACTCGGTATTCTTCATCACGTACACCGTTACTGAACAATAATGATTGGCTGCTTTTAAAATGGTTCAGTTACACAAACCAAAAGTACAATTTTTATTTTTTCTATTCAAGTGGGACCTATATTGATTAAATACGATTCTTTTCAGCTCCATTTTGAATTTTAAAAAACTTATTTAGGATCTGTAATCTTCAAATTATAAAATTCTCATATACCAATTTTAGTCGAAATCTATCAACTTCTAAAAATAATTTTTATTTTAAAAATTGCTCACCCTGTATATTACTGATCGAAAGTAAAACTGGGTTTGAGCCAGAAAGCAACCTTATCTGTATACAAAACATGAATTTTTTCGATAAAGCCGCTTTTGAGCTGTCGATCCGACAGACAGACTGAATGGGGAAACATGTTTTTCGTAATCTAGGGTCCCTAAAATTCTGAAATAATCTCGGAAGGTGACTTTTCACGATTACAATACCAGTTAAGGAATGGTTTTTTCCTCTATCCATATTAAAAATAAAGACTCAACTTTTGGAACACACTGTAGATAAAACTACATTCTCTATCTAACTATTAAAAGCATTGATAATTTTACAACTTACCTTTCTTGATACGATATTCTTAATTTGAACCTTATAACGTTCTGGAATATTGAATGCGATATGTCCAAGGGTCACTATAGCAGTTCGATAATGTGAAGATTCTGGAGTCAGATTATTTTTTACAGATTCTAAAATACTCGAAAAGAGACTGTCATACAGATCGGGCATATTTTTGTATATACATTGAATGGCCCCCTTGGCTTGTTTCGGAGTTCCAGTTTGAGCAAAATCTCTACATATTGGTGCTAGTTGATTCATAATATCAGGAAATTGTTGATCTAGAAAAATAACATGTTACGGAGTCAAATTTTAGTTTCAATTTTTACTTTATTTTGCTTTGAAAAATAATAAAATATTTCCTGTCAGTTGGTCATGACTAATAAAGACAAGAGATATGAGTCTTGTCTGAGATGATTTTTTTTTATCTTTATCTGAGATGATTACACAGACCTCAAATGAAATTTCAATTATAAACCCAAATTGTCATTTCTGTTGTTATGTTGGGAATGGGGTGTTAATATACTGCGACATAAAAGATTTATTGTGCCCCCTTATGTCGCTAATGCAGCAAGAAAATGTCTCAATGCCTATAACGACCCTTCTAATCCTATCTTCCCAAGGAAGTATAGTATTTGGAGTGGCTTCAAGTTAGGTAAATCTCCCTCTTCTATTTGATAGTGCCCTTGGATTCTGGAGTGCTACACATTCAGTAAGAATATGAATGGAGGTTTCATCCGCCGCCTCACAGAATATGTACTCACTATCTTCTACTACTCTCAGTTTACCAAGGTGTCCTCTGAGTCGGCAATGCCCAGTAAGGATCCCTGTTACAAAGTGTAGCCTGTTCTTGCTCAGGCAGCTACAGGCTTTCATTCTTTTCTGGTTATATTCATCCAGAAGTATCTTAACCTGTCTTAGCCCCAAGAGATTGTTACAATTGTCGGTTCTTCTACTGCCCGTCATTTCTGTTAAGTTTATTGACAAGTGAATATAGGAAAATAATACATCTTCAGACACACCATAACACAATTGGTCCGACATGACTGATATCTTTCAAGGCCAATTGAGGAAAAAACTTTTGTGAAGAAGAATATTCATACTTACATAAGCATTTATATTTCCCAAGAAACGTAAAAACAGACAGCACCAATGGCGCTATATTTTCATCTTCCAACTTCAACAGTTCCATAAGTTGCTCCAAAACATCTGGATATTGAAAATGTGTAGGAAACACTACACTTAACATAACCAACAACTTAAGGCCTCTGTCACCAGCTGTCGCTGGATGCAAACCAATTTCTTCAATACAATTTCCGCCTCGCAAGCAATCTTCTACATATCCAACTAATAATTTTATAGCTTCGTGATCAATCATAACAGAACTGATTCTTTCCAACAGCATCTTTACTGTGTTGTAATACAAATTTGTCATAACTGGTGGTCCGAGTTTTCTAAGTACAGCGGCTGTAGCTTCTGAACATTCCTTACAACTTACAGATGGCTTGACGACAATATCAAATTGTTCCATCAAAGAATTGTCTCGTTTTAAATGGTTACTGAATTTTGTTAGATATTCATGTGCTTTAACAGGTTCCGGCAAACATTTAGATAAATTCTGTATTTTGAGTGCTAATTCTTTTAAAACTTCATTTGCACCATTGCTCGATCGCCTGTGAAGTTCTAAGAATTCCTGTACTAACTTTCTGACGCACAATTGATTTTTCTGAAGTTCTAAGAAGGCTTTTGTGGCATGATCGTCAACCGTTCCTAAAAGGTGATATAATTTCTTCATTCTTTCAGCAGCTGGGAGTTGATAAGGTACTAGACAAGTGTTCAACAAACGTTCTACTAGTAAACGATCTTCCATACCAGCCATGTAATAACCATGTAAAATTTTGTCTTTAATCCAAGTTACTGCTTTTTTGGTAGCATTTGGTACATCTGGATCACTGAGATGTTTTTTATAAATGAGAGCGAGACCTGACATTGCTTCTTTTCGTATTTTGAACTTTTTGTCCAAGGTTCTTTCTTTTACAAACTCCAAAAGGTCTTCAGAATCGGACACAACTTGAAAATCATTTTTAGCTGTTGTAACAATCGCCATAACCACTTGATAACGAACGTTCTCTTCAGAATCATGTTGTCTCATTTTCAAAGTTTCTGTTATGTCTTTTCTTAAGTCTGGGTGGTTGAGAAGAAAATGCATAGAATATTGTACACATTTAGTCCTAATTGCTATTGAAATGTCATTAAATCTTCCTAAAAATGCTCTCCACAATGCGCTATGACGTCTTGCAAGTTCAGAATCTTTTTCACTAAACATTTTCGCCAAAAGTGCTACAGCAGCTAGCCTATCACTCTCAAGAGGACTCTTTAATTTACATTCGAGTTGTGGCAAGACAGCCAATAAGATCTGGGGCCTTATGTGGTTTAATTCGTATATTAAGTCATACACTTTGCCACAAATTTGCAAATTCTTATCTTCTTTGCCTAATATCAGCACGTGGTTAAAAAAAGCTTGGATATACGGTTCTAGTGTATCCGAGGTTTTCACTATTAACTCTTTAGCCAAGAAATAGGCATTTTTTTGTTGTGTTTTATTAGGTTCGACAATATTAATTAATATAATATCTAAAAGATCATTACTGACCATGTCACTTTCCGATATTAAAGGACAAAGGACGTCTAACATAAAACTTTTAACTCTTCCTGAATGTTCATCGTTGACAATTTTGAACATGAGATGGAACAGGGCGCAGAAAATCTCTTGACAATCTTGCAATTCGAAACACATATTAAATGATTTGACGTATGCGAGATTTTCTAACAAGTAAAAGTATCTTTTAAAAGCCGCATCTTTAGGATCTTTTAGTCCAGACAGTTGAGTTATTAGAAAGAGAAAAATCGTCTTGACCTGTTCGGGGTCTTTGTATGGTGCTTCTGGTGCGTATACTCGCAGAACGTCGGCAATGCAACAGGCGATAAGTAGCTGGACGTCTCGCGAAGTATGAGACAGAAACTGTTCTTCTGCGAGATGAAGTGACAACGGAATATACTGTTTATAGGCCCCGTCGTCTTGACCCATTGCTTGTAAAGTATGAGCAAGTGTTTTTAAACGACGGATCAATTCATCTGTATTTAGATCGTCGCTGATTGGACGGCATCCTGGCGGATACACGATTTCTGACATTGTGTCACCTGAAATCAAAAGAGAGCACATTTGAAAAATGGAAAATTAAGATTAGATTATAGTAAGAGATCCTATATTAGGAAGTTCTACCACAGAGCAACTATAAATCAAAGAATACACTTTACGTCGGCTTCTTTGATCTCGGTAAAGCCTTGGTGTCCTAGAAAGGGGTATCGTCACATAGCGGCCGTAATAATACAGGGGTGACGTCATACAACGGTAAAAAAAATGTGGCGAGCATTGCGGTGGAAGTAGATGTAAAGTCAGAAGGCGTGTTTAAGATTTTGTAATAATAAGATAGGTGCTCTTGATGGTGCATTTCACTTGACCATTACCACACTTTAGAACAGCGTTTCTTAATTTTTTTGACAAGTGGAATCCTTTTTAACACGACCTATTAAAGGGACGATTTTTCGTAGATCTCGTTGTGTTGCCAAAGACCTATAGGAAATGGCCGGGGGATCGCGATACCAGTTAAAATGATGTGCACATATAATTACGCCTTTCCAATTATACGACTGTAGCCTAAGTTCTTAAATTCCCACATATCACCACCGGATCTCCACGTATCTTCATCGGATATCTATGTATTCCCACGGATCTACATGGATTTCTACATATCTCCACAGACCTCCGTGAGATCTCTATCCCGTAGGGCAGAAGATTTCCAGTGACTAACTACCCCTTCGACTATCACTAACTAAACTTGTAAACAATTAGATTGAAATGACAAAATTGTTTCAAAAATGTCATCACCTACTAGATAGACACAGCCGAAAGAGGCTGTTCTCTTTCCCCGTAGTACAATTTGATAAACTCAACGTAAACAAAATACAAACCTAACAACATTTAAAGTTTTGACTATTATAAGAACCATTGGTATGGTCAGTTAGCTTTCTTAGAAAAAAATTAAGTCATATCACAGTCCATTACAAAAAAAAAACTAATATCCTGAACTACGGAAAAATCAACAGTTCTCAACATTTGACACTGAACACAGGTTTTATTGAATGCAAGTTTTATTAATTTGAAAAGTAAATCTTTAATACAAACATATTAGGTTAGATTGACAGTGATGTAGTGAGTTACCCATCCATCAAAATCACCCTGTAACTCGAAAGTGCTACAGACCTGACCAAAGAGGTGGCGGTGTGTTAACATATATTAATAAACAAACTAGTAGAATAAAAATTAGTGCATGCCTTAATGAAGATTACAAGAATGAACATAATTCAAAAATAATATCTACATGGGTAGATGTCAAATTTAATAAATAAATGATTGGACAAGAAAATACTCGTCTAACAGAAATAATTGTCTGCATCAGAAGAGAAATGTAATCATTTTGGGAATTTTAACTATCATGATATTGACTGGAGAACATTAACACTTTCTCAAAATAATGAAGAAGCAAGAGACTCTCACCACATACACACAATCGAATTTTAAGCAACTTATTAACTTTTCAACACGAATATGCCATGAACAGAGCTCTCTGATTGATCTACTACTGGTAAATGACGAAAAGCTAGTCGCCTCAATAAAATCCGAACCTCGAATAGGCTTGCGTGACCACGTAGTCATTACAGCAATCATTCAGTTAAACCTCAAAACTGGCAGTACTCACAAAGTGCAAAAACCAAATTCTTGCAAAGCAAATTATAAAGCGATCAACAAAGAAATTTCCCAAAAGAATACCCATTTACAAGTAGCAGAGGAAACAACTCATGCTGCAACAATTCTTACCAAACTTTAAAAAACATACTGCTCAAAGTAGTTAATGACAATATTCCACTAGAAGTAATAAATAATAACCTTGAAAAACCCTGGATCAATCGAACCCGCTTCAAAAAATTAATAAAAAAGGGAATCTCTGGCATAGGTACAGGTCAACAAGAGCTGAAGAAGATTATGCTGCATACAGAAATCAGAACAATAAACTTAAAAACTCATTGGCTGTATCTAGAAAATATTATGAACATAACCTCTTAAAAAGCGGTGAAAAGAAATTCTACTTTGTGAAAAGAGTACTGAATACAAACAGCACTCAGATCACGCTTAGAAACCAAACAAATTTAGAAATCACAGAAAAAGTCGAGATAGCATAAAGATTTGCAGCACAGTTCAGTGCAGCTTACACAACAGAACCTGATTCAGAATCACCGCAAATAATTAAAACATAAAGAGTTAAGAATAGCATAGTAAATATAGAATTTACCCCAGAAAAAGTGAAATTTGCAATAGATGATCTTAAACAAGAGTCAAGTCCCGGAACAAATGAAATCCAACCTATTTTTCTTAAGAAATATTCTAGTAGCCTTCTTTAGACGGTTTTCCACTAAACGGACAGTTGAGTCTCTGTTTTGTTTGTGTTTTCTGGAACTTGAAAAACAAAAACGAAACTAAGACAAACCCAAAACTCTTGTTTCCATCAAGCGGACTACATTTTGTTCCAGTTTTTTTTTTTTTTTTTTTTTTTTTTTAATTTGGTGTCATCGGCGTCGACTACTACGGCCATTAGCCTCGTGTTCTGTGTAGGCTTTGTTACTGTTTCCCAGCGCCACTTTAGGAACAGCACTGTTAATTAGAACCCAACAGTGAATGGTCGAGTGGGGAATCCTACCAAGGCATCAGAATTAATTTTAAATAATTAAATTAAATGAAAAAATCCCGGCCAACGGTGGGATTCGAACCTGAGACCTTCCGATCTCAAAGTCATGACTCTAACCACTGAGCCAACCCACCCCCCTTGTTCCAGTTTTGATTTTGCTTTCGGCTCTTTTCCACTGGTTGTCACGAGGAAGTCAGAACACATTTTATTTGAATCGGTGAGTGAAAGAACAATACATATCCAAAATGACCATTTTGAGAAAAACAAAAAAACTATTTTAAAGGAGAACTATGGGTTATTCGGCCTAATTATGTATTGTGAAGTTATAGAATTTTTGTTAACCGATAATAATATGTACATAAATTTAAAAATAAAATTATGCAAAATATGATATTTGAAAAAAATGACTTGCAGTTATACTGTTCTTTCACTCAATTTAAAAAAAAAATGCTTTAATTTTTTTTGTAGCTTTATTGATTATTATTTAACAAACTTATTTGTAATTTTTTAATCAGAATCTTCATTTTTGACTTTCCAAGAAATAATATATGGTAGTAAAACTCTAGGATTTCATCACTAAAGTAGAATAAAATTATCTTTATATTGGCTATCTTCTTTACGTTAGTAGGGACAACTTCTGAGTATGCCTTTTCTAATGGCGAGCATACACGTAACGGTCTACCGGATAAGCCTACCTGTGCAGGTATGCCTGCGCAGGTCGGCCTTATGTCGTAACGTGCATGTCTACCTGCACAGAAAGACCGTAGCGTGTATGAGTAACTGCAGATTGGCATTAGGTTTGATATCAGTCTAATGCGCCCCACACATAAAAGTGTGCGAGAGAAAACCGCCTATGAAGGCACTTGTAGTAACATATCCAGAAGTATTACCAGTGTATGTAAACTGGCTGTACTGTGGAATGACAAAATTAGCTTTTTGTTCATCAGCTGATTTAGAGGTTTTTTATGAAAGTGCGACCACCAGTTTTTGAAATCTGTGTTAAATTTGTCTACGAAACGACATGGCTACTGAGTGAAAAAACAGTACATGCGCCGTACTTGTACTGTTCTTTCACTCAACCGAAAATTGAACAAGCCCCCATCGCTCGTATGATGTTGGTCTGTGTATTAATCTTTCGCTATGTGATAGGCCTATGAATTTTAAACAATTTGCCTATCTCAGTTAAAATTACCGTTTTTGGCACTTGTACTGTTCTTTCACTCACCGATTCATTTATATTTGGTTTTTAAGATAGTTCCAAACTGAAAATACATATAAAAGTAGTTTAAAAGATGTACGTGGCATCATATAAACCTAAAAAGGACAATACTTGGACTTAACCTAGTCTGGTTCTGACACACAGATATATATTCAAAATAAATTACTTATCTATAAAAAAATACGTTATTTGCTTACCTATACCAATTTGGTACTAAATTTAGACTACACAACCCGACCGTTTCCAGTAAACAGACTCGAGTTTCAAAACACGTCGAAACCTTTTGATGTTACCGCTTACGAGCGGGACTCGAGAAACAAAACTTCAACTGTCGCAATACACGCCAGTCTTCAAAATGTTTACGTAAAGTTCCAGTTTTGTTTGTTTCGACACGAGTTTGTGTTTTATTTTTGTTTTGTCCGTTTAGTGGAAAACCGCCATTAATATCCTCACGACAGTTCTCAATGCAAAGACAGGAACTGGCCAATGGACTGGAAACAAGCTATAGTTACTCCTATATATAAGAAAGGCGAAAAAAATAATCCCATAAACTACCGACCAGTCCGTTTTACAAGCTGTATCGATAAATCAATGAAAAATATTATTACAAAAGAAGTAACCGAGTTCATGATGGAACACAGAGTTTACCAAGCAATCAGCATTGATTTATGCCCAAAAGATCTGCTTCTAAGTGCAGTTAACCAGTAGACAGCTTGGAATGACAACAACCAGCCAACTGATGTGATATATCTTGATTATGAGTAAGCTTTTGATAAAGTTCCACATAGCTTAGCAAACTGGAACATTTTGGAATAAGAGACAATATATTATTGTGAATCGAGAGTTTCTTATTCAACTGGGAGTTATGCGTAAGAATAAATGGACAGCTGTCAAAAAACCATCCAGTTCAAAGTGTAGTAACACAAGGCACGGTCTTGGGTCCCCTGTTATTTATTTTATACGCCAGCGATTTATGTAAAATATTCGAGTCTGAAGCCAACTTTTATGCAGACGATGGAAAGATCTGCACAAAATGAAACAAGACGAATAAAATAGGGTCCCAACAATGGCTACTACCTCTGAACATAAACAAGTGTAGTACAGTATTGCACATAGGCCCAAATAATCCCCACACACAATACACCTTAAATACAAACGCATTTACTCCAGTCGAAACACAAAAGGATCTTGGGGAAACCCACATTGCTAATATAGTGAAGAAAGTCAACAGTCCCATTTACCTTATCAAAAGAGCTTCTAAAAACCATTCCGAAGATATGATACTCAAACTATATACAACTTACATAAGACCAAAGATAGAATAGAACTAGAGGAAACTAATAGAAACTTACAAGTGGACCAGCGGATATTACACCTGTGATAACATCTTCCAGGCCAGCACACCAAGAACCTTGAGAGGTCACTCGAATAAATTAGATAAAGAAAAGTGTAATAAACTGCAAAAATTTTTTTTCGTAATGATCAGAATTGTATATCTGTGGAATGGTCTCCAGGAACATACAGTCTCAGCCCAGAAAATAAACCAGTTCAAAGTGAGAATGGATATAGAACTCGAAGAAAGAAAAAATAATTTTATTCATTATAGTTTATAGTGTATTGGGTTTTAACTGTCATGTAGTGATTTAGAATAATTTTTGTCACTAACTAAAGTAGCAGCTTCATCAACTATGTCGCTTACCTGTTCTTAACATTAATAATAGTAATAAATTAAGGTAGCGAAAAAGGGTGTTTGGAAATTATATTCCCATGGAGATTAATGATAAAAAAAAGGAAAATGTTAAATAGGTCAAAATTGGTATTTAGATTACCCATTGAAAATTCAGATATACCTACCTAATTGCAGGATAAGCTAAAACATTGTAATGTAAAAAATAAGCTTAGATGCTTTACAGTTAAACATGTAAATTAATTAAAAAACAGATAACATGAACAATTAAAAAACTTGGTACATAAAATCGTAGATAAATACATAGTATATTATAAATAATAGGATTAAATAATAAAAATGACTACACAATTTTTTTTATTTTGTAGATACTTCATATTTTTATAATAAGAATAAAGTCAAAATAAATAATGTTTTTTTTAAGATACCATTAGCTGACGAATACCTACGAGGATGTGCTAAAAAGTTCCTAGCTTTGGTATTAACCGAGTACGAGAGGCCCATGTTAATAATTTTGCAACCCAGTAACAGAATCGTATGTGTGGGTTTTCATTCCATGCATTAAAAAAGGCATGGGCGGTGTTTTGCAGGACAATGCACCTGCACCCTCGTAAAACTTGACCAATTATTTTTTTCGAATTATTGGATAGGATAACTTAAAAGCTCACTGGCAAGTCTGCAGCTTCTTGTTTCATCTCATCTTTTCTTGAATTTCACAAGGGAATGTTCTTTTGCCGCGTTTGAGAATCCACATCGGATGCATTTTTACATCTCTAGCGTTTTTTTATCCACATCGGATACATCTACTACATCTACATCTGCGTTTGTTTGTCCCAGATGTACCTGTTCAGATTACATTTTTTACATCTCAATTTCAAATGAGATGTGAATGAAATGTTCGTTCCATGCCAGAAAGTAAGTGTTATGTGAAGCCAAGTTTGTCAAATTATCCTTTGTTTATGCTAGCATGAATATAAAAGTGTAGATTTCAAATTTAGGTTGATTTGTAGTCTCAAAAGTCAAATTTAAACAGAATAAACTTCTAACTTGTCATTGACATTTTATCACGTGACCAATAATGTCTAGAGCGTTTTTTTATTACATCTACATTCAGATCTAATTCACTATCACGTGATAAAAAATTCACAACATCTCAGATGCATCCGATGTGGATTCTCAAACGCGGCACTCAATTAGGTTTGCACTACCGATGTTGTCAGTTCAATATAAGGGTCACGT